CAATTGTAGGGCGCGTATGGCCTCCTTGATTGTCATACTCCTTTCTCTCCTTCAAAAATTTCTAGATTACACTTGTCCTTGTCAGCGTCAGCGCTCTCCTATTGTGAAGATATGTTTTCTTTTTAAATTGTAGGAAATTTCAGGCTGATGAAACATGATATAACTCAAAAGCAAGCATAATTTGGTGCAAATAGATGTTTGTGACATAACCTCAAAATAGAGTTCAGACACGGAGAAGTAGAAAACTATGACAATCAAGGAGGCTATAAAGGCGCCCTACAATTGTAGGGACGACTGACGATACGGGCCTTAGATGATGATCCGTTTTGACATTATATACATTTTTTACATTATGTAGGTTGTTCTACAAGATGTTAACTTAGCACTTAGTTGTTCGTGTTGCCTAAACGTCATGAGGCTTCAGTTATCAATGTTTGGCTCTGATGTGATGTAAGATCTCCGTCAGAGATGGCATTACTGGACACTGGAGGTCTAAGCTGTAAGTTGTATGTGTTGATGATAATTCTATTGGATTCTTGTCTCAAATACATTTAACCCTTAACTGGTAACGTGCCGTCTGTGAGGCTGCAAGCAATTTTTTTTTTCAATGTTGGAACAAAACTGTACCTGCGCTGCGGTCAATGACCTTATCTAATCGTTCTCCTATTGGTGCCCCGTCTACCGCATGAACAGTGGTAAATTCGGGAAAACCATCTTTGAGACAGTTGTAATTGTTACTTCAGCGCAGTCTGTGAGACGGCACGTTACGGTTTGTGTCAGAATTTCTTGCAACTTGTAGCCATGGCAGGCCCGTCAAAACGTGTACGTTACGGTGATAAGGATTTTGAGGAGACTCTTCAGCGTTGGTATGAAGAAGATGACGCAGTATATAGTGAATCTAGTGACTTGGACAATACCTCAGACGAGGAATTTGAAATTTCCGATCATGATAGTAGAAGTGAGTTATCTCAAAGTAGTGACGAGAATGACGAAGTTACAGAACAACAAAGTGTGGATGAGAGAAAGTATTTATTTGGAAGAAACCGTCATAGATGGTGTACAACGGAAGTTCGACCAATATCTCGTACCAGGAAACATAATATTGTAACGAAAGTTCCTGTTATCAAAGGAAAAGCTCGACAGCTCGGAGAAGAAGCAGATCCTATTTCTGTGTGGCAACTGTTATTTACCGAAGAAATGTTACAACATATTGTGAAATGGACAAATCATAAAATAAGTTCAATGCGAACAAAGTATAAAGTGGATTCGACCACATTGAAAGACGTTGACGAGATTGAGTTGAGAGCTTTTTTTGGACTTTTGATATTCACATCTGTTTTCAATTCAAACCATGAGAATATCAAAACTATTTTTGCGACAGATGGAAGTGGAAGAGACATCTTCAGGGCAGTGATGAGCGAAAAACGATTTGCTACACTTCTGTCTGCAGTGAGGTTTGACAATCCAGAGGACAGGAACGAAAGGAAAAAGCAGGACCCTGTAGTAGCAATTTCTTTTATTTTCAACAGTTTCATAGAGAATAGCCAAAATGTCTATGGCATTGGCCCGTCGACCACCGTTGACGAAATGCTTGTGAGCTTTCGTGGCAGAGCTAGATTCAAAATGTATATGCCAAACAAGCCTTCCAAATATGGGATGAAAAATAATGGCTTTAACAGATGCTAGAAATGCCTACCTTTACAATGCGTATATATACGCAGGAAAAGATTCCGATGGGATTGGACTTGACCCTGAATTCAGGAATTATTCTAAGCCAACTCAAGCCGTTTTACGTCTTGCACAGCCTTTATTTGGGAGCAACCGCAACGTCACGGGAGACAACTGGTTTTCATCGGTGGAGCTGACAGACATATTACTGAAAAAGAAGCTCACATACGTTGGAACGTTGAAAAAAAATAAAAAGGAAATTCCACCTTGTTTTTTACCGAACAAGGTAAGGGAACTTGGATCAACTCTGTACGGCTTTCGTGAAGACTCAACTATAATTTCCCATGTTGGAAAGAAAAACAAGGCTACCATACTTATCTCCACAATGCATGATAGGACTTTTACTGATCCAGAGACAATGAAACCTGAAATAATTGCATACTATAATGCCAACAAAGGAGGGGTGGATTCTCTTGATGAGAAATGTGCAAAAAGTAGTTCTAGTCGTCGTACACGTAGATGGCCTTTAGCTGTTTTTTACCGTATTATTGACGTCTCGGTAGTGAATTCATACATCTTACATCAGTGTTACAAAAACAATAAAGTGATGAAAGACAAATCTGTATTTGCGAAAGAACTAGCTATCAAACTTGTCCAAGGACACATGGAAAGACGACTACAGAATCCTCGTTTGCCTCGCGAGTTACGCTACACCATATCACGTATCCTCGGCAGACCAGAAGAAAATTTACCCGACAGAACGGAAAATTTACCCGAAAGACAGGAAAATTTGATGTTGCAAAAGCGAAAAGCCTGTTATTTGTGTCATAAGACCACACATCGAATGACAAAATATCTGTGCTTGGAGTGTAGGAAACCAGTATGCCTGCAGTGTTCACATCCCAAATGCAACAGTTGTGCGAATAAGCCTTAGATTTAGGACCTGCTGGGACCTTTGAAATGCAAAATTTCTTAACGTTTTGTTTCATTGATGTATTGTTTCATTTATCATTAATAGTAAAATATATAACATTGCTTTCATTTATCATTTTTTCCATTATCATGCTCCCTTGGAAATTACACTACCATTTTTTTTTCAAGTTGATAATTATTATTTAATTTTTTTTTCACGTTAATTTTCCCGGATATTTTATGTAAAATTATTACTGAGAATATGCAACTAACATACCTTCATATATATTTGTAAAAAATTATAAGGTTCATTTATTTATTTTTGATTTTAAAAGGTGCCAGTCTCACAGACTGCACGTTACCAGTTGTGTTCCAAATTTGCTCGTTACCAGTTAAGGGTTAATTGAGATACAAAGCTAGAAATTAGTTGTGCAGCCACTTTTTCTTATCCAATCTGGAAATTACATATACAAATTTGCTGAATTTCAAAAATATGAGAGATCAGAAATAATTATATTCACTGTAGACTGTCGAATTACAAGCTATATATACGTACATGCTAACAGTAATTACACACAACGCGGGCGCGGTGATGATTTCCTCAGTCTTACGTAATTTATAACTTTGAACACAACCGCTCTTCAGAAAGCACAACATATGAATAACCCGTCGGGCACAGCTGATAGATATACTTCATTGGTAGCATATTCAGTAATGATTTTCTCACACAGCAAATATCACTGATCTTATACATATGCAGACCAATACACATAATCATCCAGATGCCATCTTGCTATTCAACCAACTTTCTCCTCAGAGATAAAAACTACAGACACGGACCGCTCGGCCTCACAAAACTTATGCAACCAATAATGCGTGTGGTTTAGTTGAGCGATTCCTCCATAAACGGTCGTGTACAACGATCCTGGTGAACAAACGTGGAATGACTGTTTGCGTCCTAAAAACTACCTAGTCTGCAAGATGACATCTTATAGGTTTTTTGACGTTTTATAGTTTTTTTTACATGATACCCGTGCCGTTCACAATGAGAGTACGAGTGTGGTATCAGTACGACGGTGCCCCATCGCATGTTCGTCGTGACAAAACCGAATGGTTAATCATTTTAGACAACGATGGATTGGCAGAAACGGACCCGTACATTGGCCTGCGACGTCTCCTGGTTTGAACCTCCTGAATTTCTTTTTGTGAGGCGCTTTTAAACAACTATAGTGCATGCTAAACAAATTAATACTGTTGATCAGTTACAAGAAAGAATAGATAATGCGTTTCATCAAATTCAAGCCATAACAAATTCCACGGAAATACGTTTTTCTTTATTAAAAAGATGCCGCACTTGTATCCGTCAGAATCGTGGTCATTTATTAAAATAAAGCTTTGATTATCTATTTTGTTTTTTTTTATTTTTACGAAAACGATGCACTCTAGGAAAAAAGCACAAGAGTGATCATTTGAAGAAAATTGAAGGAGAAATTCTGAAAATTACGCGCTTTGAAAAAAAACAGTGGCGTACTATTTTTATTTGGAAAAACACTGCCTCTAATCCCCTGTATCTCCGCCATTGGTGCACGTTAATTTTAAGTAAGGACTTTTGAATGTGGACAATACATCTGGATAAATCCACATACCAAACTTTAGTTCGTTCCAGTTGACGGTTTTGGAGATACTAAAAAAAATCTTGTTTATTTTTAAACTTCAGCTTTAATGAAGCTCTCGAGGGAAGAATGTTGCATAGAAGACCCCCCCTTAAAATGTTTCATCTTTGGCCACGACTTGTGACTCACCCTGTATAGCCCTTTTCGTGAATGTTAATGATGAGTGCTATATGCATATCGTCAATTGGTTTCGCAACCTACGCCAAATAATGACTTTCTATATATACCTATGCAAATTTTTGACTCCTTGGGCTAGAACATTATGTTGCAGCCAACTTACACCGCCTGATAACGCCTATTGGTCAACAGAAATATTAAATATTGTCAAAACATCTATGTTATCCCATAGTCATTTAGCTTTTAAGGCCCTATGTGGAATATTACATGATATAGTTTAGTTACAAAAGAAGCTTGAAGTTCAAATGTTTCTGACCTCAAGTAACTCTTTTGACAAATCAGTGTTGTGAGTAAGAATTTTATACTTTTTCAAGATGTATGGCTTCTTATTTCAATTCTTTAAACACAAAAAGTTATTCCCGCTCAATTTCCTTTTGTATCATAGGCGGCATCTACGGTTGAATATTGGAGAACTAATCTAACATCCACAGCTAACAGCAACGTTTCTTAAACCGGTTTTTAAGTTGCACCAACAACGCATAGATGTCGCCGCCAAAATGAAGTAGATACTAATGTATGTCAGAACAAGTTGAATTTGTGGCCTATAGATGGGACGCTAATCGCTACAGTTTTGCTTGACGTGATGAGTCATTTCTGAATTGACAGTTGATTGCTTGTGATTGTGGTATTTTCAGATTATTGTTAACTAGTGGATAGGCCATAATAATTCCATTATTCTACATCTTCTAAACAAACACTGATGGTAAATTATGCGTATCATTGTAAACAATGCGAGATATTTTAATACAGAAGAGTTAGTGCTGGTAGAAGACGTATTTATGTTTCGGTATCTTCCCTAGAGAATATTCGTCACTGCAATAAAACTAAAATTCCGACTGTGATATAGGATTAGATTTTATAGATATGAAGAAACAATTTTTCCGTGTGAAACAGTTAGCCGATCAAACCTTTCTAAGGTATGTATTTTGCTTTATTACTTGATAAAGCTATTGCTATTTTTACGTTCAGGTTATAACTGCCTGTAGTTGAGGCTTTTGTTTTTATTATAAACTCCAAAACTCAGTGACCAAAATATTGTTAACTGTTCTTGTTGATATTCAATAATTATTTATTCTTTTTACGGCACCTACTGAATATTGACTGTATTTTTATCTTTGGGTGGTCTGAGGTTAATGATGCAGTAATGCAGTTTTGCCTTGAAATTGAAAAACCCAAGCAAGAACATTTTATTAGTTATCATTGCCAGTTACAAAATTGGTTTCATGTATCAATCTGTTTATTATGATTGTGACAAATGGATATTTTGACTTCAGTTTCCATTATTCTCATATAACTACTTTAATCTGTTTGGTAATTTGTTTACATGGAAGAGTGTAGTCAGGCTGTGCCTTGAACCATTCTCTTCAAGAGCATTTTGTTCAAAGCAAGCACACAGTACTTATCCAAAATTTGAAAAGTGAACTTGCCAACAGACTAATAACATTTGTTACTTATACGCACTTTTACACTATTTACTCACTGTATCCTATGAGAGCTCACCCAGCAAGCTTAGTGCATTTTCCTCCATCTTATGCTCTACTGGGAGGATTAGTGTAAAGTATTTCCCACTAGGAGCATTACTTACTACAAAATTTGTTGACTATTCTTCCACATAGTGCTTCTACACTTCCCTCAAAATTAGTGGACTAGAATAGGGAATGGAAGTTAAAAATTTTAGTAATAAACAGAACAGGTCCATTGCACTATCAAGTTAGTAACTCCTTTCTGCTTATTTAATGAATTCTTAGCTGCACTTTACTTAGAACTCTAATTAACTTGAGCCAAGTTTTAATGAAGCCCAGGAACAGCTCAAAGCAGTGATAGAAGCAAGTAATAAAAACTACTTATAAATCATTTGTTGATATTACCAAAAATTTTGCATTAATATTATTTATTTTGGGTAATGGTGGTTTGAAACAAAAGAAATTATTTTATAAACTTAATTAATCAGTACTAAGCAATATGAGATACTGAATCTTTTGAGGCAGCAAATAATGAATATCATCATATAATGTCTGTTGGACATAACTTTTGTAAAGTAAAGAAGTGCATACATTACTTGTCTGCTCTTGTCTGATTTTTGTTAACTTTTTTTGCATACTATGTTCCTAAGGCCCAGATTTCTCTTCTTAAGGATTAAAGTTTTTTCCATAGTGAACCAAAGTCAAAATTACAGATACCAGATTAGTATTATTAAATGCTGTAATTTCTGTACTTACCACCACATCATGGCAAACCTTTGAATGTTTTATAAAATACAGCTTAGCCTTATTTTGTAATATTTAATATTTAGTCATCGCTATGGTTAACTCAAAAAATAAAAGTTGCCTGATAAGGACAATCAGCCTCAATTTGTAGTTGAAAAGTAATTATTTCTGAAATCTAGGAAAAAATATACATGATTTTGGAAGATATCTGCTTTCCCCATATCTTAAAAACCAATTCCATATATCTCTCTCTTATAATTTCCAAGGTTACACTTATTTAGAAATAGTCCCAGGAAGTCCAGGGATTTGAAACGAACTGAAGAACCAGGACTGCAAAACCTTGTCCCAGTGTTATTGTCACTTTCCAGGTTAAATATAAATAAAGTTCTTATTGAAAACATAAATTTGAATGTGTTCCATCAGTCATTTTGCTGGGTCACTACTTAACATATAATGAATAATATAGGTGAAATGAAATGCCATTTTTTTACAGTAAACAAACTGAACAGCCCAAACACCTGATATGGAGCTAGAAGTATCCTGACAGCAGTTTTTGTAATTTTGACAGCTGCTCCCAGCTCTAGTCCCAAAATTCCTGGTTCTTTAAAAAATTATCTGTACAAACATGATTTGTCCTTCGATAAAATTGCAAAAAAAATATTTACTCAGCTCCATGCATTAAACCAGAGGTTCTCAAAGTTATTTTGTCCATTGCCCACTTTGAAAATCAATTATTTTCTAGCATCCCCCAAAATTACTTTCAACTCTAAGTATTTATGAAAACATAAATCGCATTATATCTCCCTCGAAATGAATTTATTAATCACCCCATTACCTCACCTCCACCCCCTGTCCACAATTTCTTCTGGGCTTTTTATTGCCCCCTGTAGGTCCCCAGGACCCACAAAGGGGCGTTATCGCCCACTTTTAGAAACACTGCATAAAACTGAATTGGTAAACTGTCTCTCCATCAAGTTTTCCAACCTTTCGCAGCAGATATAAATGTATTGCATTAACAGACCTATTACATGATTTCATAGTTGCTATCTTTCATTGTGGTTCCATTATCTATAGGGTAAACAGATTTATCTCTCACAAATCGGTTATGATAAAGTGCTACCTTATATTGGAGCAGTGTTTATTTGTGTAAAGAATATTATTGACTTCTCAGTTCACATTGTAGTCACTTTTGAAAGATCAGTCGAATTGCATGAAAACGTGAAAAGTTTTGGCAGACTTAAACACAATTTTGAGTAGATAATTATACGTAATTTATAAAACTAAAGTAGATGTAATTGAACTGTAAATCACTTTAACTATGATTAAGTAGTTCAAGAAATTAGTGTTCAATGACTTCTCAAGTTACATACATGGTCTGTTTAAATGACCTCTGTAATATTATTTGTATACATGAATCGTCTTTAGTTTCCAGATATGTCTGACAACCTTCAAAATGGAATGTCTTATTATCATTCTACATTTCAATTTTGAAGTGGTTCTTTATAATGCTGGAACATTAATGATAATAATTATACTATACTATATATACCAATACTACTAGATAATTGTATGGAAACTAGTGCCAGAAGATACATGCAGTTCTTCCCAGAGTTATCTGATACTATAATATATACATTGGGGAGAATTTGAGTTGTCTGCCTTGTCCATAAAAGTTTTTCAATTATCTGTGATCTAAATGGTTTTATCAAGTGCTCTGTCCCATCAGAAAGTCATAGTCTTACAGTATAAGGTTTACATCAATATCAAAATATATCATAAACGTGATTAATACCTTCCATTTTAATACCTTTCATTAGAATTGAACAAGATAATAGCAATTGATATCATTTTTATCCTTTACAAATATTTTATATCAGTCGGTGATATCCATTTATAAATATTAATCCCCGTTTTGATGGAAAATAACAATTGCAGATATTGAATTTACCTAAACAAGCCTAGAAATTATTTACTGAAATGTAGTCAGTAGTCAGAATATATCAGAGTTAACTTGCAAATTAACAACAAATTTAACTTGGTTGATATATACGAGTATTTAACATGTCAGTATTTTTTAGAAATAGCAAAATAACAAACATCATATCATGTAGCAATTTTAGAAAAAGAAATTGAGACATTCTTATATTTATTTTCCCTTCATATTTTGAGATCTTTGTAGTTCCTACAGACTTTTTGAGCGCTTGTAAATAACTTTTAACTAAGTCCAAAAATGCTTATTAAAGCAAAATGAAATTTGAGGACGATTTGAATCCTGAAAATGAAGCGAAATTATCCATCCCTAAAACTGATTTTCTCTAAAATTTATCAGTCATTGCACTCATTTGCCTCTTTTGGGATATCCTTCAGATTGAAATTGTTTATTCGGTAGGTAACAAAGTCTCGAAGTGGATCAGAAGTCTCTAATTAACGTCTTTACAATGCTTTTCAAAGAATAGTTTTTTAACTGAAATGACAATATTGAAACGAAAATGAACTGTAACGTCGTCGCATACGTCTCTCGTACATGTACTTTGACCATCAAGAAATTTCACTATCTTTTCATCTTATAAATAGCCAGCTTAAAAATAATTCATCCGTGAAGTCATCTTTACGCTGAAAAATGGGTCGTTTTGTTCATGAAGAAAAGAAATGTTGGCTGTTGCAATTTATGGACACGACTGTCTGCAACGAGCACATGCTTTCACAAAAATTAATCGTAAAAAACGCAGATAATCAATTTATTTCCTGAAATTACTCTCTAGTACATTGTAGCACACTTATTAGCCATATTCAGGTTTATCTACTGGAATATATATATATATATATATATATATATATATATATATATATATATAATATAGCGTCATTTGAATATAAAGACTTGAGTACAAAACACATGCTGTGCTTACATATTAAAAATTTCTATTAAAATAGTACTTAAATAATATAATTGTTAACAGGAAGAGATACGAAATTGTATGGAAATGAAATATCATTCATATAACTGCTACTGTCCTAGCAATTCGATATCTGAATGGAAACGGGCAAAACAGTTAAAATGTGTGGATAAAAAATCAAGATTATATTTTCACAAAAAGTGAATCAAAAGATTAAAATGAACTAAAAACTTGGTGATAAAGCCAGAATAATTTTATGGATGCATTCCATTTATTAATTACTAACCTAAAGCCCATGTGGAAGTTGTGTACAGGTTATTTATTTTGCATTAGTGTGAAGGAGATTGGCTTCAGAGAAAGAAATGCAATATTCATTGTAATGCAATAATGCAACGGTAATTTTTTATTCGACATTTTAATGCAACAATTGATTAATCAAATGTGCAATCAGAATCCCATCAAATAATACGTGAAGTATCTCACAATCTTTGTGGTATATTTACCAAACGAATGTGGAAATGATGTGAATGCACGATTCAAATGCTCTATCCATTACCCTTACTCATTTTGATCGAACCAGCGACTGAGCGCTTTTTCGCCGGATACCTCATGTCAAATTCCATTAAGCCCTTTGGGCTGTAGTCCATAAATAGATATTTCAAAGTTGTTTCCCGGGATGACAAGTAGCCTATCTGCTATTGCAGATTATAATCCAACTTTGTACCAAAGTTCATCCAGATCCGTTCAGCCATTTTAACGTGATTCTGTAGCAATCATCCATACTTTCTCATTTATAATATTAGTAGAGATAAC